TTTTTTTTTTTCATCCACAAACGTTCACATACATATTCATGATCACATCACAGGACGAAACATTTATTTCAATATTCTAGAAGTTTAACAATCGACGACAACAAGTTCATTTTCATGTTGGTTAGTGCAGTAACTTCCGATAATTTCCAACCGTCATCCGACATCCGGCTTCGAGCGTCGATCGCTTTCTCATAATCATACAGTGTTGATTAAATTGTATTAATTAACGGATCTAAATTTTTTTATTAATTAATATAAATCGATCGATCGATCGAAGAAGGCAGAAGAGTTTGGTTGCTTTTCTTAAGACTTCGTAATTACGAGAATAACGGAGAGAGAACAAAAGAGGACAACGCGAGTTTTCCGTATAGTAGTTTTGCAGTTTCTGCGAACGATTGTACTGTTCGATGTGCATTCCGGCTAATCAAGTGCGTTGCATCGAGTACAAACAGAACAATGATGAGTAAATCTTTTGGAACGAACCCGAAAAAGAGTGATTGAATGATTCCAACGATCGATGGAACGATTAAGAAAAAAAAAAATGATTAAAAATGAGAATAAAGCAAAACGTGATATTTATGTATGCGGGAATCGACGTAAAGTTATTCTTAGTAGTTAGCACAGATGTATCTATATTCTATATATAGTATAGAAAAACAGTACCTTCGTGATCTTCATTTTTCCTTCTGTTCAACAAAGAAATAAAGCTCGTTCTAACTAAACGACGAATAAAAATGAACGTCGAGAGGTTACCGATATATTTCGACAATAGCCTGTCTAACGAAGATACCGAATGCAGTTCTGATGAACATTTTTCACAGAAAGTGCAACTTCAAGGCATCTCGATGTTATTACCACGTGTTTTAGGACATGTGGTCTGTTGTGAGCAGAGTTTCGCGCAAAAGTGTTCCGTACGATATTTTTCATTTGATGATTAACAAAACTTATTAAACGATAATTATGCTGTTTCGAGAGGACTGTTGCAAAAGAAAAAAAAAAAAAAAAAAAAAAAGAAACACGTCGTGGCTTCGAAACACTTCATGATGATACTTAATCAAAAAGAAAAAAAGAAAGATCTATTGCTCAAATACTCAACTTCATACTTTCCTGTGTTCAACTAGATAAATTTACGTGATACGTGTGTAATTCCATTTCCAAAGGAAATTGATCAAAAGAAAATCCGAACAAAAAACGAAGAGAGAAAAAAAAAGACAGAAAAAGAAAAAAAAATGAAAAAATGAAACTGTTTGACATCGATCAATTTCGAAGCAGCACGATTTTCGATCGTTTTAGACTATATGAAAAATGAAATTACTGAGTGAAACGTGTCCCGTGTGTACATGTATGTATGTAAATACGTACGAGTGTGCGGAATACTAACATTACGACGTTTGCAACAATAGATTATTTTTCCACGTCTAGCTCGAATGTTTCGAACCTTCGACGAACATCTGTGAAGCTAGATTTAGGATGTAATGAGAAGTGGATGATCGGCAATTCATATAATTCGCATAACGATGATATACAGGTGTCGCGCGACTGGAATGTCCGGTGGGACACATACATATTACATTTATCATATATTTTATTTTCGTTCGGACGTACAGGCATTATCATTGAACGTAAGAGAGAACAGTAACCATGTCTATGATAATTTGCGCTATAATATATTATAGATCGTTGTTTTCTGTTATAATTATGATCATTACAATTATTAAGAGAAAATGGAAAAAAGGCGTATAATTAACGAGCGTGACTAGATGATAATAAAAAAAAAAAAACAAAACTATAATGGTAACGTTGAATGGTTGGTTTAGTTAACATTTAATTAGAATAAATCTATTTTAATACTGACAGTATAAGATCGAAAAGTTCTTTTTATT